TTTTTGGGATTTTAAAATATTATTTAGAATTTTCAAGAATGTTTGAAAAAGAGGAAAAACATTCGTATCTGCTGATATAGTTAGTTCTAATGTATTCGCCTTGCTTATTCATTACCAGCAGTTACCAGCTCCAGTGGCTAGGTACTTGTATCTACTAGAGGGGAGTCTCTAGTTCTAACCGTGGCCAACGTGCCACATTTTGGTGGTGTTTTTATACCAGGCGGAGGACTGCCTTGTGTAAAGCCCTGCCATTCAGCCGCATAATGCGACAGATAGGACGTCACTGTTAGCAATGCCTCACGCTATGTGCCATGACTACGATTCTAAGGCTGGTCATAGTGGGGAGTAACTTATACTAGTGTCATATGCATGACACTAGTCTAAGTTACTACCTTCATAATGCAAAGTAACATAATAATAGTATCATATATAGTTTCATTTATTAACTTGTAGACTCATCTTGTCTCGGAAAGCGTTATGTTACAGTAACATATTATGTTACTACCTTTCATTAACTATTTGCCACATAAGCAAAAAAAATTTAAAATGCGCTATGTTACTATCTAAATTACTCCCAATATGACTAGCCTAACTACGGGCCAACACCATCGCGCCTCTTCCTGTTAGTATTTAAGGCAAGACCTGACTAAAAGCTTTAAGTTCTAGGGTCCCTATTACCCCCTAATGCTCTTAATTCTGGACTTGGGGAGCAATATTCAATCACTTTGGCCTCGCGAGCGGATCATCGTTGCTGCTATTGGTGGCCCGAACTTTTCTTGGACGATACGTGAACCTTTTTAAACATGAATTTAACTTTTTGAATATAGGAACACTTTTTAATACATGATGAATTTTTTATCTGATACAGATGAACATATATATGCATCGGCTGAATTTTATTCCATTTTTTTACATTATACCTTTGATATAATTTTTTAGAGTTATTCTGACAATATTTCCTCCATACGTATTAAACATTTTTCCAAATAAAAAATAAAAATAAAACCTGCAGTTAATGGTTTGTGCTGTGTTTGGCCATATTAGGACCTGTGTAGTCCCGATCCAACCCGTCTCCTAGGCATCAAAGCCAAATTTTAGGAATAGGAAACAACTCAAAAAACTTCGCTCGACGCTTATTATGACCTGTGTAATCCCGATCCGACGACGCTTATTATGACAAGTTGTCGCCATTTCGCACAGCCCGTTTAACGCTTCTGTGATTGGATTCTGGTTCCGGTATTAAGAATGTTCTCAAAGGTTCCAGCCTGGGTTTTTACGGTTATAAGACCCTTTGTTCTTGAGCATGTTTTTTTCCAGTTTTTTCCTTTACATGTTTTCCAGTTTTGTTCCCAGTTTTTCATGTATTCTTTTTCCTTTTTGATTTCGTTTTATTTTATAAAATTCATAAAAATTAAATATCTATTATTTTTTAAAGGTTTTTCAAGAACTGTACAGAAATCAAAATTTTGCTCAAATTTCCAAAGATTGTTAGTGTTTTTGAAAGATTGGATACTAAAATATGGTTCACAATCTTCAGAAAATGTTCAAAAAGTTTACAAAGAAATTCAAATATTTGAAAAAAAATCTTTCAATTAAGAAAACTATAATTTTCAGAAAAATCATAAACCTTTTTGAAAAAACATAATTTTCAATAAATGTTCATAATTTCAAAATTTGTTCTTTTTTGGTAAATGTTTGAAATTTCAAAGTAAAGATAATTTCAGGAAAAGTTCGAAAATCTCAAAACTGTTCACATCTTTAACATCTGCTACAGTGCCAGGTTGTTGCAGTGACGGCTCACTGCAGTACTGGTTTGTACACTGCCTCGGCCCAGCGCTACAGCGACTATTCTGCCTAAATGCGCTTCAACAGACACATCGACGTAAATTCAGAAGTTTTTCAGGCTTGGAAGTCATTGTTGTCTGCACGTCATAGCTAGAGAAAACGTTCTCTGAATAAGACTACCCACGCGGCGGGTCGGAGCCCGTGTATGTGGTGGGTCAATTTCGACGGACGCAGCGGTGGCGGATCATCCGCGTTTTGTCGAGCTGCTGTTGTTGGCATTTCTTTCTTCTTTTTTGTTCTTTCTCTTTTCTTTGGGCTTGTTGTACTTCTCGCCTGAGCACTCCTATATAATTGGTGTTGGTTGCTTTGTAATACAAAGCGGGGGAAACCCTTTTTCGGTAATAAGACTACCCACAGTGTTCCCGCAAAAAAGAGACTACCCATAATTGGAGTAAATATAGATGGTAACATCACACTTATCTAACCAAAATAGATGATGTGACATGTAATTAATGAAGAAAAAGAGACATGTGTAACATAGCTAGTTATTGTAACATCACACATATATATCAAGAAAAGATGAGTATAAAACATAATAAATAAAGTGATGCATGACACAACACATATATTACTACCACTGTAGAGGTAGTAACCTAGACTAGTAAGAGCAACTCCAATGGAATGACCCATTTTGTTCGTTTGGGTTATCCGGACAGAAAACTTGGCCCAATGGGGCAACCTAAACGGACGCCCGTGTCTGCCTGCTGTCCATCCTCGACCCAAACCTGACCCAAATCTGGAAACAAATGAGTACGAAGCGGACAGAAGCGGACGCTCTCGTCCACCGCCGTCGCCCGCTCATGTCCGCCCCTGGCCCCATATGTCAGAGACTGGAACTTTTGCCTCCACAACACCATTGCGATTTCTACCTCCACAACGCCCGCAGCAAGGCCACCGGTGCTGGTCGACACCGCACGCTCGGCTGCTCCTCCATACCGCAGCAAGGCCACCGGCGCAGGTCGCCGACGCGCCGCAGCGAGGCCACCGGCGCAGATCGTCGACGCGCGCTCGGCCGCTCCTCCGCGCCGCAGGGAGGCCACTGGCGCAGGTTGCCGACGCGCGCTCGGCCGCTCCTTCGCGCCGCCGCGAGGCCACCGGCGCAGGGCTCCTCCGCGCGCTCGGCCGCTCCTCCACGCCCCAGCGAGGCCACCGGCGCAGGGCTCCTCCACGCGCTCGGCCGCTCCTCCGCACCGCCGCGAGGCCACCGGCGCAGGGGCTCCTCCGCGCGCTCGGCCGCTCCTCAGCGCCGCCGCGAGGCCACC